GATAACATCATCATCGAATGCCTCAGGACTTTTTTTTGAATCAAAGTTTGGTTTGCATTTTTTTCAATCAATAAATCAGTAAGTATATATTTTTTTTCAAAGCTGCAGTGCCATTTTGCACCCATGAAACTGTCACATCACCCTATCAATCGCGGTGTTTCAGCGGCGAACCTGTCTAGACGTGTATTTCTTGCTTCGGTTGGAAGAGGACCCAAGGTCTATCACCGAACAGTCCTTTTGTGTTAACTTAAAACATAAGGCCTAATTATTCCCACAGTAATATGAGCAAAAGTTCTTCAATGCTTCAGCGGCTTGTTGGTCTAGTGGCATGATTCTCGCTTTGGGTGCGAGAGGTCCCGGGTTCAATTCCCGGACAAGCCCTCACTTTTGTTGTTTTCGTTTAACCTTGGTTCAGCCACGATTTATTCTGTATGACGATGTCATTGAAGATTTTCCCCTTCAATGTGACGAGGCTGATAAAAGCCAAAGTTGATTATCGTGATTTGATTGATTTCTATTTGATCTTGACAATAAATCGAACAGGTTGTTTGTTAGATTCTGACCAAGAAAAGAAAGTTCGGCAAAAGTTATGATTTTTCTGTATTAATTTATTTAATTTGTCCGTTCTAGAAACGGTGACGATTTTTGAAAGTTCACTGAATCAGAAAGAAATCGTTTTCTGAATCTAGGTACGAGCTTCTACCTGAGAAACGCGTGAACTCTGAATGCTTGGAATGTTTGTGTATGAATTGTGTTTTGTAACTTTTTGGGCATGAGTGATCTCAGGCTACATTTAAACTTGTTTGGTTTTGTCCCTGATTGGAGAATTTTGGTATAGGTTATTTTGTTTATGCAAAAATGACTCGTACTCATTTTCCCTTCGGAGGATCTTATTATCCTTATGTCTTGTCAGACTCAGCGGCTTGTTGGTCTAGTGGTATGATTCTCGCTTAGGGTGCGAGAGGTCCCGGGTTCAATTCCCGGACAAGCCCAACCTTTTTAATTTTGTTTTGAAATCCTGACTTGGTCCCAACAAAATATTTTCTCAACAGATAACGCCACCATCACTAAATCAACATGTTTTAATTTTTTTCAGAGTTGCAGTGCCATTTTGCACCCTGAAACTCTAACATCACCGTCTCAGCGACGTGTTGGTCTAGACGTGTATTTCTTGCTTCGATTGCAAGAGCAACCAAGTTCTATTACGAACAGTCCTCCTTTGATATAAATTTAAAACATAAAGCCGAATTATTTCCACCGTAACATGAGCGAAAGTTCTCCTATGATTCAATGGCTTGTTGGTCTAGTGGCATGATTCTCGCTTTGGGTGCGAGAGGTCCCGGGTTCAATTCCCGGACAAGCCCTCACTTTTGTTGTTTTCGTTGATCCCTGGTTCAGCCACGATGTATGACGATGTCATTGAAGAATTTCCCCTTCAATGTGACGAAGCTGATAAAAGCCAAAATTGTTCATCGTGATTTGATTGATTTTTATTGATCTTGAAAATAACTACAACAGGTTGTTGGTTTGAACTGAACAAGGAAAGAAATTTCGGCAAAATCATTATTTTTTCATTCGTTCGTTCTAGAAATGGTGACGATTTTCGAAAGTTCACCGAATCAGAATGAAATCGTCCTCTGGATCTAGGTATGAGCTTCTACCTGAAGAAAATCATTAAAAAAAATGAAGTCTGAATGCTTGGAATGTTTGTGTATAAATTGTGTTTGTAGCCTTTTGGTATGAGAGATCCCAGGCCAAATCAAACTACTTGGATTCTAACTGGAGCCTTTTGGTATATAGCTCATTTTGTTTATGCAAAAAAACCCTGAGTCGTACTCTTACCAAACTGGTACAATTTTTGCTTTGAAGGATCTTATTCTCTTTATGTCTTGCCACAAGCAGTGGCTTGTTGGTCTAGTGGCATGATTCTCGCTTAGGGTGCGAGAGGTCCCGGGTTCAATTCCCGGACAAGCCCAAAGATTTAATATTTTTTTTTTACCCTGATTTGGTCCGAACAAAATATTTTCTCAACAGATAACATCATCGTCGAATGCGTCAGGACTTTTTTTTATCAAAGTTTGGTTTGCATTTTTTTCAATCAATAAATCAGTAAGTATTTTTTCCCCAAAGCTGCAGTGCCATTTTGCACCAATGAAACTGTCACATCACCCTATCAATCACGGTGTTTCAGCGGCGAACTTGTCTAGACGTGTGTTCGGTTTGAAGAGGACCCAAGGTCTATCACCAAACAGTCCTTTTGTGTTAACTTAAAACATAAGGCCTAGTTATTCCCACAGTAATATGAGCGAAAGTTCTTCAATGCTTCAGCGGCTTGTTGGTCTAGTGGCATGATTCTCGCTTTGGGTGCGAGAGGTCCCGGGTTCAATTCCCGGACAAGCCCAAACTTTTGTTGTTTTCGTTGAACCCTGATTCAGCCACGATTTATTCTGTATGACGATGTCACTGAAGAATTTCCCTTTCCATGTGACGAGGCTGATAAAAGCCTAATTTGCTTACCGTGATTTGATTGATTTCTATTAATCATGAAACTTTACCTGGTTGTTTGTTTAAATGTTGACCAAGGAAAGAAAGTTCGGCAAAAGTTAAAATTGTTTTTATCTATTTCTTTAATTCGTCCGTTCTAGAAACGGTGACGATTTTTAAAAGTTCACCGAATCAGAAAGAAATTGTTTTCTGAATCTAGGTATGAGCTTCTACCTGAAGAAAAACTTGAACTCTGAATGCTTGGAATGTTTGTGTAAAATTTGGGTCTTGTAACCTTTTGGCAAGAGGGATCTCAGGCTAAATTCAAACTTGTTTGGTTTTGTCCCTCACTGGAGCATTTTGGTATAGGTAATTTTGTTTATGCAAAAACGACTCGTACTCATTTTCCCTTCGGAGGATCTTATTATCCTTATGTCTTGTCAGACTCAGCGGCTTGTTGGTCTAGTGGTATGATTCTCGCTTCGGGTGCGAGAGGTCCCGGGTTCAATTCCCGGACAAGCCCAAACTTTTGAAATCTTCAAATCCTGAATTGGTCCCAACAAAATATTTTCTCAACAGATAACACCATCATCACGAAATCAATTTGTTTTCAACTTTTTTTCACAGCTGCAGTGCCATTTTGCACCTTGAAACTCTAGCCTCACCGTTTTAGCGACGTGTTGGTCTATAGACGTGTGTTTCTTGCTTCGGTTGCAAGATGACCCAAGTTCTATTACGAACAGTCCTCCTTTGATATAAATTTAAAACATATGACCGAATTATTTCCACCGTAACATGAGCGAAAGTTCTTTAATGCTTCAGCGGCTTGTTGGTCTAGTGGCATGATTCTCGCTTTGGGTGCGAGAGGTCCCGGGTTCAATTCCCGGACAAGCCCTCATTTGTGTCGTTGTCGTTGAACCCTGGTTTAGGCACGATTTATTCCGTATGACGATGTCACTGAAGAATTTCCCCTTCAACGTGATGAAGCTTATAAAAGCCCAAATTGCTTATCGTGATTTGATTGATTTTTATTGATCTTGAACATAAATTCACCAGGTTGTTGGTTTGCTGACCAAGGAAAGAAATTCGATAAAAATTATGATTTTTTTTAATTCGTCCGTTCTAGAAACGGTGACGACTTTTGAAAGTTCACCGAATCAGAAAGAAATCGTTCTCTGAATCTAGAGGAGAGGTTGCAAGAGGACCCAATTTATATTTCGGAACAGTCAATTTATGTTATTTAAAACATAAGGCCTAGTTATTCCCATAGTAATATGAGCGAAAGATCTTCGATGCTTCAGCGGCTTGTTGGTCTAGTGGCATGATTCTCGCTTTGGGTGCGAGAGGTCCCGGGTTCAATTCCCGGACAAGCCCAAGCTTTTGTTTTTTTCATTTAACCCTTGTACAGCCACGATTTATTCTGTATGAAGATGTCACTGAAGAATTTCCCTTTCATATCTTTTTACAATGTGACAAAGCTCAAAAAAAGCACAAATAATTATCGTTATTTGATTGATTTTTTTTTTATGGATCTTGACAATAGTTTCATCAAGATGTTGATTTCGATTTTGACCAAGAAAAGCAGTTTCGGCGAAAGTGATGATTTTTGGGGCGAATTCGTCCCTTCAAGAAACGGCGACGATTTTTGAAAGTTCACCGAACCAGAAATAAATCGTTCTTTGAACCTAGGTATACGAGCTTTTATCTACCTTGAAAAAAAATCGGAACTCTGAGTGCTTGGAAAGTGTGCTATTAAATTGTTACTTGTGTTCTTATCCTTTTCTCAGGCCAAATTGCTATACTTTGGTTTTGTCCGTCACTGGAGCGCCAGCGCGCTCTGGCCGGGCAGGCTATTTTGTTTATGCAAAAATGACTCAAAATCCTACCGAAGGGTAAAAAGTTGCCTTTCGCAAGATGTTATTTGTTGACGTCGTACAGTAATCAGCGGCTTGTTGGTCTAGTGGTATGATTCTCGCTTAGGGTGCGAGATGTCCCGGGTTCAACTCCCGGACAAGCCCAAAACCTTCACATTTTTTATTAATTCCGATTTGGTCCGAATAAAAGATGTTCCCAACAGGTTGACGTCATCATCGATAAATCCGTGAACATGTTCTTTTCGACACTCACAAACCATTCGCAAACTATCGATTTTTTTTATACGCCCGGCAGTGTTAAGTTTTGAACTTCTCATCAATTTTTGGGGTAGCCGCGGAATGGTCCAGTGGTGCGATTTCACCTTGGGCAAAGAGTGATCTGTTACACACCAAGACCTTTTTCTTGGTTAATTTAAAACAAAAGCACTAATCATTAATTCCATGCCAGATATGATAGAAAATTTCCCATTCGTCGACGACTTGATGGTCGATGATTCTCGCTTTCGGTTCACTGGAAAAAGCTCACAAAATATCATTGTACTATACATGTACTCGAAGCCTCATATACGTGTTTCGTACTCTCATCATCTTCTTGTAAATGCGTGAAAGGGTCCCTAATTAGTTTGAATGGTTGAACCATACCATGTTGCTCCAGAGCTCCCTTGCTGCAAAGGCATGTCCCTTGGCACTCAGATGAAAGCAATCGGGCGCCATGTACGAAGTGTCGACTTTACCATCCTGATGGGGAAAATAAGTGCAAGATAAAACAAACGCTTTGTCACCCACGGCACAATTCCAATTTCGATATAAGACCTAGATAGGCTTTCTATTGAAGCTTTTTTTTTTTTTAGAGACGTCGCTTTTGCAATTGAACACAAAACACAAAAAGACAATGTCAGTTGTTTTTGGCTATCTGTAGAATAATGCTTCACTAAAATGCGCCTAGTGACCTAATGCATGTCCTTGCCTGTTACTGCAGCAATGAAAATGGTTATCATACTCACATCGCCAATTGGAAACTCTGTTTCCTCCATGAATGGCTGATATACAATGGTGAAATCACTTCTGGTATCATACCTCCCTCCGCTTGCAAGGTCCTTCAGTGCATCCTATTGTAAAAATAAAGAATCCACTTGGCTTTACAATGAAGTCTAAATACAATTTAACAAAAATATATAGGGGCCTACCCATTAAATTTGTGTTCCCGTGCTCTTCAACCAATTCCAATTTATTTATATGAAAATATTTTTCATGCAACTTCACCGACTTCCTACCATTCAATTTAGTCCGAGAACAATTTCACAATCATTTTTAACAAAACCAATTTAGTCATCTTTTATTCAATTTTAAAGTTTAGTCACCCTCTTTGGTCACCGGGTCGAGAATATTCGTCATAACAGAAAAAAAATTGGTCTAAGCTGTGCATTCAGAGATCAAGTTCGTCATAGGCCTATTTAAATCAATTACGAATTTGATTTCTGAATAACAAGGTTCGCCTTAGACGAGACGAAATGGAAACTCCGGCACGAAAACGTTTGCTCATTGTTTAAATTTGCTTGAACTAAATTTGAAATTGTCTGACCAAAAAAAAGTATACGAAATTAAACATTGGAAGTGCATTAAATCGAGGTCGCTGGACGAATTTGAATATAAGAATTGGTGAATTCCAATGATAACCATTTTCAAAATAGCCGAGAAAACCGATATGATTTGACAAAAATATATCCATTAGGCCTAAAGTTGTGTTTCCAGTGCTCTTCAAGCAATTCGATTTTTTTTTCTATTAATGAATTTGTAACATGTATGTTCTATATATTTCAACCCAAAACCCTCTCTTCCTCCTTTTTTGGACAACTGCAACCCGCTTAAAAAACAAGGTTTTTGTGTTTAGGGGGGAAAAAACAGGTACCCTTTGCGAGCAGACTGCATCCCGGTCCGTTCGCAAGTTCACTATCTTTACGATTTGTGGGGCGGGAACCAGCCTTCTCCGCGAAAACGGGTTGATTGTCTGACAACCAATACTTCGAAATTGTTGTAAGCAATATAATTCAATAACTAAACATGGGCAGATTTTTTTTTATGTTTCATTCAAAAGTGAATAAATTTGGTACCGCTTTAGAAAAAAAGTAAATTGAAAAAAAAATCTATTTTAGGCGATGGAACTCGAAAGTAGCAAAGGGACTGCATCTTGGAGCACCAATTTTTTCCCCCGGCTATTTTAAAACGTTAATCATTCGAATTCACCGTTTCTAATAATCAATTCTGTTCATCATCACTGATTTAGTGCTCTTTCAATGTTTAATATCGTCTTTCGTCAGGCAATTTCAAATTCAGTTCGAGCAAATTCGATTTCGTCTCGTCTACGCCAAACCTTGTTATTCAGAAATCAAATTCATAAGACGAATTCGATCCCTGAATGCTGCCATTCGGCAACAGGTTGGACGAATTCGATCTGTAATGACGAATATTCTTAATCCGATGACTAAATAGGATGACCAAGCTTTGAAATTGAATGGTAAATGACTAAATTGGTTTTTCTTAAAATCGTGTGAAATTTTTCGTGGACGAAATTGAATGATAGAGTTGGTGAATTTGAATGATAAATATTTCAAAATAGCCGGGAAACCCTACATAAGATGTACCTAAGGATCTTTTTATAAAATATATTTGTCACATTGACATCAATTACTAACTTGGTAGTCCCGATTGAGCTGCTCCAGTGTCAGTCGTTCGCCTAGGTCGAGATTAAGGATACATTCGCAAAGTATTCTGAAATTAAATATATACATGTACATTAAGAATGATGCAGATTATATTATTCTTTTTAGAGATTCATTCGCAATAAACGCGATGATAATTGTTTTTGTTTTATCGTGTACTTGGATACTGTCATTTCTTTGGTCTATAGAAGGGCCACGTGTCTTGTTTATAAAATCGCATGCCACACACTCAGGGTAATATCGTACGGCGCACTAACTCTTGTGCAATGAGAACTGCAACGTCAAACACTCAGGCTCATGTCCAGCAGGACATCAAAACCTTCATTTATCAAAGGTAACATCGCACTGATTTATGTTATTTCTGACACAGCAAGTTACAACAATTTATCTCTTTGAGTTATTGGCACGATATTATAACAAAACAAGTGTTGACTGCTGATGAGGGATATGCCATTTTGAACACCCTCGGGGCGCATAGCACCCGAGGCGAAATCTCACATCACAGCAGTCAAAAACTGATAAACCTTTGACAATTATAAAACTCGTCTCTACGTACTCGTGAACAATCGTGCAGATGACCTTTTCTTGTATGACAAGCTGTGTGATATTCATCAGGCCCACAACATTGACGAAGGTACGAGGTAGCTTGAAATAGAGAAGAAAAAAAACATATGGGACAGTTTCCAGTCAAAATATTGAGAATTTGGTAATAGGCCTACCAGTGGTACTACTATAAGCGCCAATACTTTGTCACGTAAGATAGTGTGTCTGGATAAAAAAATCGAATTGATCAGATACCATTTTCTTTGTAACAGATCTTTATCATGCTGCCACCATTTCAGTCATGTTCCCTGTATCCAATAATAATACTGAATGCTTTTTGAGCAAAAAGGAACCAGTCTTGCTTTGGTTACATTGATTTGAATGGGAAAAAATCAAATCGCTGCAACATGATAATGGTCTATGGGAAACTGTCAAGGTGGTGATGGTGTTGGCGATTCACAAGACGGGTGCGGAGTGAGGTGGGGCGCGGACCAACACTCGCGGCCTGCGCCTCACCGTGTCTGCCCCAACCCCGCCCCTTCCCCACTTAAAATTCGGAGAAGAAAAAGGGCAAGACTTATTCAAACTAGACATTCCCAATTAAGTGCCCCTTCCAGAAAAAAGACACCAAGTATCTCCTCCCTGCATGTAAACTGGACCTCAGTTTTACGAAAATGCCACCACATACTGAAGGCTATATGATACGTCCAGGGACACATAGGACACTACCTTCTCGTGAAAGATGTCCAGTGCTTGGGTGATGCCGTAAATATAATCTTCCACCGTGAAATTAGACGGGTGTACGCAATGTTCGCACAGGTCGTTGCCTCCCACGAACAAGGTAATCAGCTTCCAATCGTTGGTAATATCCACGTTGGGATTAGCGCGCATTCGGTTCACTAAGTTCTCTGCTTGCCCGGGCATGTCACTGAAAGGTGATAAGTAAAAATAACAAAACATATTTCGAATAGTCCACTGATTTCAAAAGAACAGTTTTTCTCTTACACATTTATTTGAAATTGAACGTAATTTGAAATGCAAAGCTTGTAACTCGGTGGAGCCAAATGCATCCCCTGTTATATTAAAGCATTACCCCAGCACATTTATTTGTACAATCGGGTCTAGTACGCACGCGTTTGACATATCAAGTGATTGCAGTTACACTTCGTTTGAGGTAGATATCATATATATAAGATTTTGTTTTCAAGGTAAAATCGTTTTCGTGTGTAAGGAACTTAACCTAGTCTATGGAATATCCCCTTGCACGGCAAGGGTCTATGATGCGTGAGCAGATATTCAGCGATTAATTATTCAAACAACTGAGACTGCGTCTTGACCTCGAGATTCTGACCATTCAGCGGGCGCCTTCATGTATCCGGTCATCGGTAACCAGTTATCATGGACATCCAATAAAACCTAGACATGTCATTTACTTTGCTTTAACAATGTGAATTGTGTTAGCCAAAAATAGACTGTGTCATGCACGGGGCCTGTTGAACGACATGTTACAGGATGCGTGAATGTGGCTTCAAATGATGATCACATAATGTTTTTAAATAACGCACGTAATTAACCTATCGTGGTAGAATCGCGTCAACGCAGCTTGTGAATATTCTCAAATAACAAGATATACACACGAACGCGGAACACGCAAATTATGAGATAAACAAGGCTTAAAGCTTTAGTCCATCATTTGCAGCCATCCGAAAAGTAACTGGCGTAATTACTGTTGAAAAACAAACTTGGTTGAAAGATAGTAAGGGAACAAAACTCCCTGTAGAATTATTCTTTATGGGAAGCTGTCATTTTGAAGTAATCAACGAAAGAAGGCATTTCCAACGGTGATTCTTAAGAAGCACCGTAGGAAAATTTAAATTAGTAGTTCGTTTTGTTATTCAGCGCAGCGCGCACAAGTATTGGAACGACGCACACGCGCGCGCGGTTGTTATAATTCGTTGGATCAGTGCGCGACGCCGCGTATAGCTGCAATTTAACACAATTCAAAACATGATTCAGTAACTTTTGCTTTGAAATTGAGATTTGAAAATGCTGTTTTTCTCGGAATGTACAGCTGAAGCTTAGCTGAAACTTCATCAGGTTAGTTGCTCAGTATCCTTCATTAGATTTTGAACTCTTTTGTTGCTTCAAACGAACAAAATGCACAAATTACAAATGATGGACTGTAGCTTTAAAGTACACAATTTCATAGGGTAATCTAGGGGGCGTGGCTAACTCATAAACGGCGATAGGTCAATACGGGTGATACTCAGACTCAAGAGTCTTTATCGGCTGTAAAAAAATCGCACCACGTGCGACAAATGTTTCATACAATCTCCCGTTCGGTGAGGAGAAAGATGGTGAATTATAGATATCCGAGAGACGTACCTAGCTTCAGAACCTGGCACAGCACAGTTGAAGTTTGACCCACCGGACGTGACGTTTCCCACTCCCAAAGAGAACCCGATCAGATCAGGATTAAAACGTCTCAAAATATCTTAAGATAAAACAGAGATTGTTCAAAGACTGCAATAATATTCATTTTGGGCAAATCTCAATTTCACCAACCTCGCTGAACAAACACAATAATGCGTGACGTTTCAACATACCAAGCATTCTACCTGTCCGAATAAATAAATTACGTCTAAATAAGACCAATGTATACGTAAACGTTGAATACGGCTAAATATTAAGATAGTCAAGGGAAAATATTTCATGTGAAATAGAACATATAAGCGTTTGTTTTTAAAATGGCTTCCGATTGCTTGCAACCATCGACAAGACGGTTGAACTTAAACTATGTAAACGAGACAAACATCAATGAAATCGTCCACGTACTTGGTATTGTGAGGGCCAGTGTAAGATTATTATCCCCTCCAATGCTGAAAAAAAAAGAATAAAGACTTATTAAAATTATAACAGTCATGCACGCATACTACGAGGACACTTCATTTTACACAGAAACGTGAACAGAGGATTCCTCTTGGCATAGATACTGGAATGCGGGTCATAATTATTTGACTTGATACTTTTCCAGGTGAAAAATGACACTTTTCCCGGGTCAACATGACACTTCGCCAGATCAATTTTTGGGTCAGTTTGACCCAGAAGTGTCATGTTGACCCGGGAAAAGTGTCATTTTTCACCTGGAAAAGTGTCACTTTACGCCGGAAAAGTGCCGTTTTCAACCGGAAAATTGTCATTTTCATCCGGAACAGTGTCACTTTGACCAGGAAAAGCCTGTCATTTTCACCCTGAAAAGTATCAGGTCAAATCGTCGAATAACAAATATAACTCGAAATTCGGGTGAAATCTGACCTGAAGCTTTTTAGACCGTGGCAATAACAAATGCAACCTCTTTTATTGTTGGTGTGGTTAAGAAAGAGGAACTTGAAAATTACATTGCAGTAATTTACAAAAATGGTGCATTGAAGTAGCTGACCATCGTACCTCCATGATGCTCCGCGATACTCATTGAAAACCTCAAATATGTTGCAGGCATGGGCGCCGTTTGCAGCCTAGAAACATAAATACAAAATGATTTTGTCAGAGATTTTCACAACAATTAGGAAACAGAATTATCATAGAGATCACCAAATTGTGTGGGGATAGGATAAGAGAAATTGACCTATCGCGGTAGAATCGCGTTAGAATCGCGTTAACGCAGCTTGTGAAATATTGTCCAATTACATGATATACAAAATGGACGCGGAACGCGCAAAATCTAGACAAATAAAACGTAGCGTGCAAAAACTGCATAGGGTTGTCTAAGGGGCGTGGCTAACTCGCAAACCGCGATAGGTCAATGGACCGATCCAGTAAGCCCCTCCCACTGCGCACGTGGGCAAATTAACACGTGCTCATCTCCAATGCCACACTGCATTTTCCTGCCGCGCGCATCATACGCGCGTGCACGCATGTCGGACTTTTGTGCACGCATGTCGGACATAAATCACGGCTGTGATTGGTCAGAATACCATGAGGCGGTGCTTACTGGATCGGTCCATTGGGGTAGAGGTTAGGAGGAAAAATTGTGCACAACCCCATGGGAAAGCCCCCCTAAGGTACCATTTCCCGTAATAATAGTAATAAACAGTTCAGGTTTAATGCCAGTAAGTTTGGGGTTAACAAAAAACTTTGACATAATTGTTTCAATTTTTGTTCGGTGCAACGTAGGCCAAACACATCCGTCCTGCTCGTGGTTACCCTTTCGCATCTTTAAGTCCCTGATAAGACACTTTCGCAGAATCTGAAAATGTCAAACAGCATTTGCCTGCACTTTAAAAGTACCACTAAAATCTGTTGTGCTAATGTGTATTAACTTATTGCATGTAATTGTTTTGGTAACTAAACAAAATGGATAGTGTAGCAGTACCCCCGTTCAGCCTCCGAATAATGTTGTGAAATCAGTGCAATGGGGCCAAAAAATAACACATTGAATACTGAATTTCCTAGATATATACTCTCAAATTGCCTTATAATGTAGTAACAAGCATCGTTTATTTGGAAAAGTTTCGGAGTCATGCTCCCGGATCATCCCCCACCTCGCAGGGAGTGCCTCTGGCACGCATTCACTCAACCCCCCGGTTTCTTGAGAGCTAGATCCGCCCCTGTATGTTAATTCACATTTGCCACTATATACGTGAATATCTGAAGCCTGAAGAAACAGAAAGAACGAAGAGAGCGGCGAAGAGATGTTCAGTTTTAAAAGGTGAAGGAAAACTCTGGAATAAGTGAGGTACTTAAAACGTAACAGATTCGTAAAAAGGTCTCGTTCATCGTGTGCTGATCGTTCTCACAGGGTGAATCTCGGTAAAATACGCATGCACGAAGCTGTGCAGCGATTTTGTTGCCAGCTTTGCAGCTGTGTGCTGTGTTCTTCTCTTGTACATGTTCGTGTACGCTTGCTCGGGGTTTACACTTTGCCAATGTTTATTGCATGTGCATTGAAACCTTGGCCCATCCCCCATGGTCAACAAGTGGGCGATATATCCTCGCTTCCAAACCACTACCCCTGAATTACGTCCATGCCACCACCCAAGCCTCACCCTCAGCTGAAACGCCCAATGCAGTTTGGTGCCCCGTCCATAGGAAACTCCCTCCGCGGCGATATCAAAAGTGCTCGATTATGCACTAAATTCGTCCAGAAAGACCAGCACATCAGATAACTAAGACCGAACACCGGGCCGGAGATAGGAGGAATGCGAGAAACTGTGCTCAATATGCTTACTGTGATTGAGTCCCCTATCGCTCCAATAACTTTGATGTCTCCTGGTGTCAACTCATGGACTGAAATACAAACGGAAATACAAATGTAATTGGCATAGGGCTTAATACCATGACTGGTCAAGTAGTCATCACACTACCAATGTGGTATAGATTAACAACACAACTATGTGCAGCATCTATATTACATTCTTAAAAGTCCCGTGTCAAATTCGATCCGGAATCCGGGTCTGATTTGACCTATACACTCATAAGTTACAAAGTAACAATAGGCCTGAGACCTACTGACGTCACGCTTTGTTCACTTGTACGCTTTCCTATGTGGCAGACGGTCCCTACTTCGTCTGGCGTCCCGACTTCGCTCCCACAGGAAAGCACATATGTAAACAAGGCCATTACGTCATCAGGTCTGAGGTCTTTTTTCTTTTCCATTTTGACTCTAAAAATGTCAGATCAAATCTGTCCCATATAAGGACCTGACCCGGGAATTGAATATTAATTGGTTACCACTTTCCTTATACTAGGTTTCCTCGTTAGTTTTTCCTATACAGAATGATCAAAAAATAACCCACCTAGCTTGACAATTCTTGTAATGAAGTATTTCTGCATGTAGCACTTTCAAAATCTAGGATATGAAACCCCAATTGAAAGGCTTTCTTTTAGTGCAGGAATCATTCAAATCACTAATGTAATTTTCAAGTTACGAAATTTTAAACACAAAGACTGTTTTAAAGTTCTGTCCATGGATCACAGCAAAACAAACCATTCACGTAAATCCCAAACCATTCACGTACATGTGAATTGTTTTCGTTTTGCTGAAAGAACACCTTTTTTCCGTTTTCCGTGGACAGAATTTTAAAACGATGGTTGTGTTTTAATTCCGATTTCTGCACTTAAAGAAAGTCTTTTAAATTGGGGTTTTATATCCTAGATTTTGAAAGTGCTACATGCAGAACTAAAATGGTCCTGCCGTTTGGATTTCCCTTTTTTTTTTACTCATCTTGTTGTGAAAAGTTCGAAAGGGCGACAACCACTACTTCCAACCCAGGTAATGCAGCAGTTCTTACAAATGGACCATTTTAGTTCTGCATGTAGCACTTTCAAAATCTAGGATATGAAACCCCAATTGAAAGGCTTTCTTTTAGTGCAGGAATCATTCAAATCACTAATGTAATTTTCAAGTTACGAAATTTTAAACACAAAGACTGTTTTAAAGTTCTGTCCATGGATCACAGCAAAACAAACCATTCACGTAAATCCCAAACCATTCACGTACATGTGAATTGTTTTCGTTTTGCTGAAAGAACACCTTTTTTCCGTTTTCCGTGGACAGAATTTTAAAACGATGGTTGTGTTTTAATTCCGATTTCTGCACTTAAAGAAAGTCTTTTAAATTGGGGTTTTATATCCTAGATTTTGAAAGTGCTACATGCAGAACTAAAATGGTCCTGCCGTTTGGATTTCCCTTTTTTTTTTTACTCATCTTGTTGTGAAAAGTTCGAAAGGGCGACAACCACTACTTCCAACCCAGGTAATGCAGCAGTTCTTACAAATGGAAATTATAAACGCATCGTTGTTCTTTCACAATATCGGCTTCGTTTCGAATTTGGCTCCCAAAGATACAGGTTCTAGAAGTTAGAGACTAATATAAAGCTCAATAGGTTCTTTTTTTCCTGCAGGAACATGAAATCTATTTACATGGCAGAAGACTGAGAGTATTTCACTCGTCTTTTGATACTACAAACCTGAATTAAAACTTCTGGAGCCTAAGACACGAACGACGCCTAAGTTTGTAAAAACCCTCAGCATACCAGCACAGGATGCCTTCCAATTAAGTGTGACCAGTGACATTCTCTATTCCCTATCACCGTTTGCAATCTCCACCGCGGTTCCCACATAAGGGTGGAATTCTAAACGTACTTTTGTTATGTTTTATTGTCACATTATGGAACGAAACGCATGAAAGATTTCAAAATAATCTCACCAGATTTTGGAACCTTTGTTGAGGTCTCCACTTTACAATTAAAACGAACTCCATGATCCTGCGTGGTCAACAAAACAAAAGTAGAAAACGTAAGCAGACTTGTATTCTAGTCACCAAACCTCGAGTCCGAGTCCGAATCCGAGTCACCTCTCCCGAGTCTGAGTTCCGAGTCATGCAGGTCGAGTCCGAGTCCGAGTCACGAGTCACAAATGTCGAGTCACGAGTCCTATACACGAGTCACCTTTAATATATTGAGGTACTGCTAAAACCTCACAGTGTAGGCCTAAATGTTTCCATTCTTTTACAACTTTTCTCTGATTTAATTAAAGAACTGTAAATTTGTGTATAACAAGTCAGATAAGGCAAGGCACCACTTTCTGGAAAGGATAATCTTATATCGAACACTGTCAAGGTTGCATTTATTGGCAATATCAAGTGTGGGCTCTAGGTACATGTTTTGATACATTGACTTCTCGCAATTGTATCGGGAACAAGCCGGCCCCACGCGCTGTGTATATGCGTTTCGTCTACACCGTACAGACTGTATATCGCTTGCTCAGGAGAGGACCGTCTTCAAAATACTAATCTGTAGTTGGAAAAAAAAGCGATTTGTGGTATTTTTGGTAGAGTCACCTGTCACCGAGTCCGAGGAATTTGTCATCGTGATTCGAGTCCGAGTCCGAGTCACGGAAAATGGGACTTGAGTCGGACCAGAGTCCAAGTCCGAGTCACGATTCATAAGTCTGAACGTAAGTGTAAAATTATTTAAGCGGAACATTAACAAGGAACGCAGCTCTAATCTTCTTCTTTGATTAATTCTGACAGTGCAACATCAATTGCACATGAGTGTGAAGAGCTATAAATTATACATTGTGTATACGTAAAAAGCTATACAGTTTTAAACTATATTGATCGTTCATTAGTTAAATGTTGGTAAAATGATGTAGTTTTAAGTGGAAGTGTTTAAGCTATCCAATATAACGCAACAAAGTTTCTGGCTTATTTGTAGCAGTTTTCATTAGCTTTCATAAACTTTACTTATCCAAGAACAAGTTGTGACAGTAGGTCCTATTCAAATAAACCTATCAGCAATTGGGGCCGAAGGTTTGTGCAATTATCGCAATCAGTACGGCATAATGGCCCTGATCTTTGTGTTAAGAGTGGGGCTATCTCCATCGAGAAGTCCATATCACCACAGAACACACGAAAAGCAAATACAGTTATCGGGTTTTCCCGCGCGATGTTTTATGTCGAAGTCTCGTGATGTTGCTATACTCACAACAGCCTGTCATATTCTATCACTGATTGAAGGCTGTAGAGAATAAGCGGGTTTTTTTACGCTTTGTACAGGACCGTCTTTGGAGACGGTGGATAGCCTCGAAAACCAAATATATTTGCATAAGGGACCTACAATAATTATACTGATACCTCTAACAAGTAAATATGGTGCACCTGCTGGCACACAAACGCTTTAATGAAGAAAACCAACAACCAATGCCTATTAATAACTCAAGCAAACAAGTTTTGCACTATGATGAACATAATTAAGCACGGTCACAAAATTGAATCCGATTAACGAAATTGCAGATTATGTAGGATATTTTGCTTGATTTGCTACTAGAAAGACTGATTGATTTACAATTGTTTGAAGAAAAAAAACCCGATCAAATGTAGGTTTGATTCACGTATACTGGTGAGTATTCGTGTTCAAGATTTGGGTGCGATGTATGGTAAAATCTTGACACTGAATAAAATTTGTCTGGACGTCGGAAATGGACTCCGCTCCGTGTATACGGCACTGTGACCACTTTCGAAAGCCAGATACCATGGAAGGGGCATGCATATCATGTGCGCCTGCGTGCGCCCGCGTACGGTGCAACGTAAATAAGCACGACTTATGTATCCATTATGGGTGTGCTCGTTTAGCTCACCCGGGTCGACACGGGTAAAGGCAGACGAGTCAGGCACGACAGCCGGGCTAAAGATCCTCACGTGACGCCCTTAGCCGTGGCCGTAGCCACTGAAAAAAACGCCCGTTTCGGATTGGGTCTTAGTTTGAGATGTACTGCTTTTTTGTCAGTTGCAAACCTCAGAAAGTCGGACTGATGATTACCTTTAGACTTCAAATAAAGTCAATTTTTAAGTCCACTTGAGATTTCCGCTGTCCAGCCGCCATATTTGTCCGTTTCTAGGAAATGACACGGGGCTGACCCGGACCCGTGTCGACCCGGGTGAGCTTAACGAACGCACCCTGTAATTATAATGGAGATCAATGGACTGGACACAATCTTACAATGGAGGGCTGTTCAAAGCAGACGATCTTGCACGCTAACCGACAAGAGGTGGCTCTCTTGAGACACATTAATTTTGCCGGCAGACAGACGAATTTGCCGACTAGGACAACGATTTTCGATTTTCGATTTGACGACTGAAGCTTAAAATGGCGACCGAGAGATTTTTTTGGGGGTGGGAAGGGGGGGGGGGGAGGTATCACCCAACCCACCACCGTTCGCTACGGCCCCCTGTACACAAGGTTGTCGTGGTTGCGCAAGGACCTTGTACTTTCCGTGCACGGAACATTAACCCCATTCCTGAGCAGATAATATTATATCAACGGACCACACAAAACAAGCGGTGTTTTGATAAAAGTTTTTGCAAATCCTGGCAAGCTACAGTGTTTAATCAAGTCTATGCAGTGTCCTTTTATATAGGCTCCGTGCACAAATGCACCCTCAACGGTTTAAAAAAGGAAGAGCTGGGAGAGACCGAGGGTCGGGGGGGGGGGGGGGGGAGAGAAACATTCGAACGCCTGACGACTGATGCTCACGTGAAGACGCTATATGACTTTGTGCACATTCAGAATAAAATTAGTCCTGCGCATGGACGTCGCAAGGATTTTTTTCTAGAGGGGGCAAAACATATTTTTCCCAAAAAATTCCTGTATTTCTCAACATTTTCTCGATTTCTCAGTTTTAGAGGGGGGCAGGGACATTTTGCCCCTCCCCCAACTCATTAAATCTACACCACTATGACTTCCCGCCTCTTTTTTTTTTTTTTTTTTGCTTTTCCAGGGGGAGGGGGGCAACCCGGGCAAGCGCCCCCCTTGCCCCCCCCCACCCCCCCCCCCCTCGTGACGCCCATGGTCCTGCGTACTTTTCGATATACGCGCGCGCGAACCAGTACGCAGGTTTGTCCCGTCCACGGTGGAAAAAGTGCCCTCTCTTGTTCGCGCACGGAGCCTATAGGGCTACGAATGGCAGTTACATTGTTCTAGAAACGGAAAAGGAAGTACTAAGTTGTTGAAAAGCGAGCAATAAAATAGATAGGACGAATCTTCTTCTTCCCAGACCATGGCCAGGATAAAACTCACCCCCGCGGATTACATACACGCCAAAACATTTACGGGCATTCAATATAGAATTATTTGCTTTTTGTGCCATTGTTCGTTTCCAATAATAACACCATTCAAAATCCAAAAAAGAATGTTGAAAAACCTAACTTGTTGAAGTTACAGGTCAGTGGGTATTACACTTTTCGAGAAAACAGTGAAAAAAATGCACAATCTTTTGACCACAAAAAACGAATTCGTCGATAGCAGTCTTTATTCTGTCTTTCCTTCATTCATATTGATAACAGCATCCGGGAGATGCCTTATATTTACCCGAAGAAACACAGATTTCACTTACAAAGGGTTCATTGCATGCTGCTCTCTGCCAGGTTTCTGAGATCCCGCTTCGATAAATCTCTTCCCTGTATCTTTTCCAGTTTTCTGTCAGAAACAAAGGCACAAAAATACCACTCCTTAAATTCGGTTTGAAAAGAATCTAAGGGCGGTAAGAGAAAAACAATTATATTCCATAATCTCTATTACAAAATGTGAAGTATTATAAAAGGACCGAAATGTCACCCATTATGATTGTTATTATACAGTGTGACCCCCAAAAATGCAACCCTAAAACATTTGCCTTTAAACCAAAAAGGGATAGGTGGATTTTTATGTTTTGGGTATCAGATTAAAGCTGAGAGCTTTTTTTTCGAAATACTGAAAAAAAATCATGAAAATAGCGCTTTGGGTTGCTAAGAAAATGCCGATTATGTAAAAGTAGTGTGACAAAAAGTTTTGTCACACTATTAGTCAGTTTTGTCTGCACAATCACGCTGTCGGCAAAATAGCAAAAGGAAGAATGGAGAAGGAAGAGGGAAAGGAAGAGGGAAGAAGTAAAAATAGAAAATGTAAATAATAAACACTGCTGCTCAAAACCCCGCGAAGCTTCAATCAGGTTCCGCAACCCATGGTAAAAGATTGTACATTCTGTCATGTCGGCACGAGCTGCGGCGCGAGGTCGCTTCACATACGGCGGTTGACAGCTACAGCTGTGCAAAACACAATCACGTGCTCGCTTACAGGCAGTTACGAATTTAGCTGATTCTTAGTGACGACTCAAAATCATGGATCAAGCTAAAGAGGGCAAAACTTGAAAGAGAGCCAAGCTACAGTTTTAATGTGATGTTTACTTTGATTACTCCATTGATTTCACCTTTTGCTACTTAAGTTTTCACTTTCTTAGAGTTTAGGCACTCTCCTGAAGACGGTCAGAGCATACTGACCGGAACGTCGAGTTTATACCTCTGGTTCTTTTCAGAACCATTCTCTTAGTTGAGAAATTATTCGCACATGGTGTTTCCGCAAACCTTTCATTATTTAGTATCTTCACCATGCAAAGCCTCAAATCTTACTTAATGTGATGTTTGTGATGTAATATATCAACTTTGATTACCCACCCCCATCTTCCTAAACACGAGTACATTTCATTCCAAAAGTCAGGGGGAAGTGGCCAGGAAATACCTCAGATTGCATGGGGCATCTAGAATCCGAAATTGTCGCGGGGCCCTTAAGCGGGCCTCGGACCCCACACCTTCAGGGCTTCGCGCTCCGTGCTCGTATATATAAAACGTTTTACTTTAGGATTTTAAGACCCCCCCCCCGGTCTGGGATCAGGGAGCGGGCCTAAACAAGGTATATGCGCACACGCACTGAGCGTGCACACGTAGTTTTGTGACCAGCAAATATCCAAAACCTTTCAATACGATAGGGCCAAATTTCTGACGATTTACTTTAATTTGAAGTTGAACTTATCCCACTGAAAAATTAAATCCATTCAAAGTAATCAACATAATTAACCATTCGTATATTTGTGGAGGAAATTATAGAAATGGAGTTAAAAGGATCATTTGGGCGGAAATTTACTCATTTTTCGTGACGGTCCGTCGGCAAATTTCATGATATGCCCCCCCCCCCTTCAAAATGGTGTAGCGACGCCTGTGATTCCTACATGCTGAATCCGAACCTTTTGGTGTGCCTTTAAAAAAAAATATTAAAACTACTCGTGTGACTATTGTACTTTGTCAATTCACATCTGACTAAATTATTGAGTCGCTTAACTAAACAACTTGGTTGATTCAGGTATCATGGAAAGACAAATAAAATCTACTCATTTGAATGAATAATTATAGAAACTGGACTAAAATGGTTAATAAATTTTAATGACTAATTGAAATAAGTCGAGGGAGACACCATTTTGATGAAAACTTCCTTGTCATCTTGTTTAAACGTTTTTTTTTACAACGCTTGAAAATGGCAATACTAATATAAAAAATAAA